GAGTCCAGATTCAAAATTACGCCTAACAATTGCAAGGTTTTTACTCATCGGCTATTTCACTAGTAAACGATTAACTATGAACTTCGTGTACGGTGAAACTACGTTAATTTCGATTCAAATGGTAACAGTCTAAATAAACTCTCGTGTAAAGCGAGAGAAATTATACAAAATATATTCAGTGACTTGCAACAAGGCGTCTTTGTCCAATTTTGTGCGCATGTGTCCAATTAAGGATTAACTTGAATATATTTTTCATGTTATGGAGATATACACAAAAAAACCGGAGTGTACTCTTAATAAACCGCTGCAGCATAATGTAACTCTGTCATAAAACCCTTTTTCATCCTTTCGTACCAGCCCAGATTCCTGGAAATTACAACTTTAGCATACTTTGGTAAGTTAGTAAGGTAACATAGTGGCAACGCAGAGTAGATACTTAAAAGTAAAATATAATTATTACACGGTAATTGAGTGAGACAGTTGCTATTTATTAAGTAATTTGTTCAAAGCCTTTTACAGATTTATATCATACAGTTAACACACTTGAACGGACCTATCAAGTCGTTGGTCATGCGAGTGTCCGATGATCCGTTCACATTATGCTAACGATGTTTTTGAAAGGACGGATTCAGAGGAAAGGACGTCTTCAGAGGAAAGGACGGATTCAGAGGAAAGGACGGTTTCAGAGGAAAGGACGGTTTCAGGGAAACATTTATGAAAATATGGATAGCTTTCTATGTCGGAGAAAATTTCTATTTGTCTTCTTGCAATTGCATATGAATGGACTAAGGTACAACCACTCTAGTTAAAGAGTTAAACGTTCCTGATTACATAACACAACACATATATAATTATAAAAAAATAGGTACACCAATGTTTAAAAATATAAACACTGATGTAGATAGGAAATGAAGTAAGTTCTCTTCAAATATGTTAGATCTGCTTCATTACAAACAGCGTGAAAAGGTTACATAAACAGTTTTTAATTTACATAATACGACATTAAAAGAGACAAGGCGACCTCTGGCTGTCCTCGACTATCTATTGTTTACAATTAGTTTTAAGACCCTATTAATAGGTCCTGCAGTAGTGGACACCACGCTGGAAATCTTACCCCATGGCACCAGATACGCCGAGTCATTCTGGATAACTCCGGAAGGCCAGATTGATTTATTAAGTAATCTACTGGAACTATATGTACAGTCATTCGGAACACCTCGCCCCGATTCCAGTTCCTTCCAACGTATCGGCCGAGAAGTTCCGAGTGATGTACAGTAACACACATAGAGTGGTATTAGGTTCACAGGAGTTTGTCATTGGCTCATGTGTAGTTTTTTACTGGAATAAATAAGTGGTTTTACTGGAGCTAATATGGATTTCACTTTGATAAAGAATAAAGAAATGGAATTATATTTGAATACTTGTGTATCAAAGCATATACTTGTATACACAGGTATGTACTTAAGTATAAATATGATGGAACTTGAGATTACGTAGGTTTGTACATACACGTTTCTCTCTGAATTCTCATAGATCTGTACTTGAGCAGACAAAGATTTGCTCTGGAGCACACTTAGGTGGGTATTTGAATACACACAAGTTTCTCGCTGAATTCTCATAGATCTGTACTTGAGCAAACAAAGATTTGTTTCAAGTTTCACCGATCAAATTTCCAAAGCCTTTGATAAAAAAGTAGAATTACATGCTGTATATACTGATTTTTCAAAGGCATTTGACAAAGTAAACCACAGATTATTATTGCATAAGTTAAAATTGTATGGTGTAGAAGGTAGCATTTTAGATTGGTTTGCTACTTATTTGAAAGACAGATTCCAGCGTGTTACTGTCAATGGGGCAACATCCGGTTGGTGTGATGTAACTTCCGGTGTGCCTCAAGGTTCGATACTTGGACCTAAACTTTTCCTTATTTTTTATCAATGAACTGCCATCTATTCTGAAATTTTCTAAATCTTTTATGTTTGCCGACGACAGCATTTTTTTTAAGTGTGTAAGAACAATGTCTGAGTGTGAGCAGCTACAGAGCGATATAGATAGAGTGTATGATTGGTGCACTGTGTGGAAAATGAAAGTGAATGTAAAGAAGTGCTGCTAGGTAATTTTTACAAACAAGAAGAAATGTATAAATTTTAATTACACTATGAACGGTGACAACCTGAAGAATGAATGGTGTGTGAAAGATCTTGGTGTTTGGCTGACCTCTTCAATGAGTTTTAATACCCACAAATACCTGTTTTAAGGTCTCTATATATAAGTCTTGTCAGGAGTCAGTTAGAATACTGTCGTCAGATCTGGTCTCCTTACCAAACATCTTTAATTCACCAGGTCGAAGTTGTCCAGCGCAAATTTTTGAAATTTTTATGTTTTAAGGCACACGTTGACTACAATTCCATGTCTTACGCTGACACTTGTAGGCATTTTAATCTTCCTAGCCTCGAACATAGGCGGACATTTTTAGACTGTGTATTTCTTTACAAATGTGCTAATAGTGCTTTTGATTGTCCATATTTAGTCAAGCAAATGTGTGTTTTAGTCCCTGGTCGTAATCTACGATCAATTCGTTTTAACCAGTTTTACTGCCAGAGGAGTAGAATAAACGTTAGAAAGTATAGTATTTTAAACAGGATTCAATGTAATTTTAACTATCTTGTTTTTGCACCAGACTGTGATATGTTTTGTTCCTCTCTCGCCGTGTTCAAAGTACGGTTAAAGAATATTTGCTATCACTAATTCCTTTTGTTTTACATATGAGTATCTTTTAGTGTGTGTTACAGTGATATTTTATACTTGTGTTGTAATGTTGTTATCCATTCTGTTAGTGGACCCTTGGGTCTGTTGAATTGGAAATAAATAAATAAATAAATAATTTGCTCTGGAGCACACATAGGTGGGTATTTAAATCCACATAAGTTTATCGCTTAGTACTCATATATCCGTACTTGAGTATACTAAGGTTTGTACTTGAGCAAGCACAATATTTTAATTGAGCATACATACATTTGTACTTGAGCGCAATTGGTAATTTAATAGAGACAAGTCTACATAAGTTTGCCAGTCAGTAGTTGTGAAGTTGTAACAGTATAACAATATTTAAATGCACGTTTGCCCTTTGTGGGTTTTTTCTACATATGTTTCAAAATACTGAACATATGGTTTTTCAACCTTCTGATATTTAATATCACTGACGAGTCCTTAATGGACAAAGCGATCATATGATGCAGTATAACATTTACAATGCTTGGTTTACGGTATCGACATACAAAATGTTCGAAAAGTTGCTTCTTTTCTTGGTATTGCTAGTAACTGTTATACATATAATTGTAATAAAAAGATCCCTGTCCCACTGCACTGCCGTTTCCCCCATATGCAGTCCCCTTAGCTTCCCTAGGTATGTGGATATAACTGTAGCACATATGGGCTACATGTACTACCCTTCTGTTGACCAGGTAGCTTAATCGGTTTCAGTGGTGACATAACAATCGGAAGTCAAATGTTTGGATCCCGGTCTGACCCCGCAGACGTGTTACCACTCAGAACCCGTGTGTAGATTATATTTTGTTTTATTTCATCTCCATTATGTTTTCATACAGTTCCCGCAAGGTTTACTTTTCTTTTTTAAAATGATTTATCAAAGCTAAAGTCATACCGGAAAAATAAGTTTCGAATATTGCATAGTTTCATTGTTGGCAGTGGTACGGCGATCCTTAGGTTAGGCGGTCCTTAGGTTAGGCGACCCTTAGGTGCACAGAGATTTGTTATTATGTACAGATGTTTGTTTTTGGCTAATCTTTATCTTCATCAAGGATTATTTGAGACAATGTTTATGCAAGCTTTTTATTGAATTACACTATACCGTTTTGAATGTTTTGCCAAATCGTATCATGAAGTATTATATGGAAAATACTTAAAGATTAAGTGGCGGCCGCCAGATGATTAATTGGCGGCCGTCAGATAAAATATTTTCGCAATCACAAAAAAATTGTCGTATGCGAGCCTTTGCTTTGGATTAATTGTAAAACCGGGTCAATATAGTATCTGTTTCATCATATTGTCAATGGATATGTGTATGGAATATAACAAATAGCTAGTGTGACCTTTGACCCCAAAAAATTAACCTTTCCCATTTTTTTTGTGTTTTCAAATTTGTATGTGTGTTTAACCACACACTATGGAATTATGATAGTGAATACAAAGTGTCTTTTGCCATTAGTTTGAGGTTCGGCTTAATTTGGGTAGAATGGTTAGACTATGTTGTTACGGTTAACACTTACTGATTAAAAACTGCAAATCAGCTTATATAAGTTTGAGATTTAGTTCTTTAATCACATTTTTTCGTAATGAAAAAAAATATATATGTCGATCAACTGTATATTAAAAAAAAAGATAAAATATACATCGTAATAATCACTCATTAAACGTTTAATCAATAATGTTTCCATTATCTAACAAAAGGAATGTTCATACTGGTTCGCAAAAAACAAAAATGTATTTTCTGTTTTTGGACTCTAGTCCCATTATAAGCAATGTGCTTAAACCTTGTATTTTCTGATTTCTTTTATCGGGTAGATAGTATTTCTCTCATATCAAAAATCGAATTCATAGGTATCAAAAATAGATTAAATCCTCTAGTTAAGGAAACATACATACAATCAGAGATACAAACAGGTCTTAACAAAACATTCAATTGACAAAAAATTACCAAAGGTATAAATTGCATGTCAGAAATGTATTTACTTCCTAAGCAATAATGATCAAGCACTTCCAGAATAAAAGTAAATGTAATTTCAAATTGTCAGTAAGGTAAGATGATATTCGATACCAGGGGCGTTTCTAGGATATTTGAAAGAGGGGCGTAGAATCAAATCTTTCGCCCAGCGGAGCGAGGCGAAAAAAGATTTGGACCTTTTTTTTTGCTAAAAAACAAAATAATTGTGAAATGCACTAATGTAACGGTTCCTGACTTGGAGCATGTATATTTTATAGTTACGGTGTCAGGGTTTGACATTTTTTTATGCCGAATTCTCTCCATTAATTGTCTATGGTATATTAAAATGATTGGATGGATCTTAACAGCAGTAGACCAATAACGAGAAATTCCAAATTCTAGGGTATAAGGCGTTACTTAACATTTCAATAGTTCTAGGCCAGGATTTTATGAACGGGAGGCGTAATTACGGTTGCCCTGGTAGAGTCCATGGGGAAGCTCAGAAGCTCCTGGATTTCAACAATTAAGCATCAAATTATGAAGTACGCCCAACGACCCGCCCCTGGATTACGGAGTTTGGTTAAGATCTGAATTCCGGGACATTTGTAAGATGAAATGTAATGACCTGCAAAATGGTATCTTTAACGTAAGGAATCATATTTATTAGATTAAAAGGGAAAAGTTGTGCTAATTAGATATTAATCAATCTTGACTATCTTTATGAAACATTTACATGAAAATCAAATCATAACTATTAAACAATGTCCTGAGGTTCGATATGTCATTCTCAGATACTATATATACAAAAATTAGCACATTTTTGCAACATTTTTTATCTTTGGACTTGAACAAAATATTATGCTGTGCTAAATAGCAAAACAATATTCCCGTCAACGTGAAAGGAAAAATCAGCTTGGTGACTCCCTGTAACGTGTTCATACAAGTGTACCATCGTATAATGTTTTCGTTGGTAGATCAGCAGTCGCTATCTGCTCTGCCTACAAAATCGTATATGGCAAACAAATATTACAATATCTGCTAAAAGGTGTATATATATTAAAAAATATCGAAAAATATATCTTACAAAGAAATTAATAAAAATATGTTTTAAAGAAAGTATTTTTCGAGAAGTTGGATCACTCCTCGTAAACAAATGTCAATAACTTCAGACGAAACTGTCTGTTTGCTTCGTCCTGTCGCACATCTCTGACCTTTAACCCCTGGTGCCATTGGTCTGTGGACGTCTAGTCAGACCGTTGGTGGATCCATTGGTGATGACGTCAGTTTCCTTGGATATGTCGTCTTCCTCTTCATCAGAGGAATCTTCCGTATCCTCGGAAACGTCTTTCATCTAGGGTAAGAATGGTATGTATTAAGTACAGCGTTCCTAGAGTACATATCCAATAATATTTCATTATATATTGATTAAATGCTACAGATCAAGTTTCTGTTTTTAGTAGGGCTTGGTACGTATCTTTGTGTCCTTCTGGAGAGCGATTTCTGTATAATGCATTGTGATGAAAATTGATAAAGTCAAAATATATGATTAATATTTACAGGATTTGTCACTAGAGATAGTTCTGTTTAACTTATCAAAGTATAAATATGTGCTCGCTATTTGCAGGATTTGTCACTAGAGATAGTTCGGTTTAACTTATCAAAGTATAAACATGTGATCACTATTTACAGGATTTGTCACTACAGATAGTTTAGATTAACTTATCAAAGTATAAACATGTGGTCACTGTTTACAGGATTTGTCACTACAGATAGTTTAGATTAACTTGCCAAAGTGAAAATATGTGATAACTATTTGCAGGACTTGTCATTAGAGATAGTTTTGTTAACTTGTCAAAGTGAAAATGTGTGATAACTTTTTGCAGGATTTGTCACTACAGATAGTTTAGATTAACTTAACATTGATGTACGATCTTACCTTCTGGTCAGTAGAAAACTTTGAAAGGATGATGCGGGATAGCAGAATGGTCCAGATTATATGAAGAATCTGGAGGACCCAGAGCAGAGAGTTCAGGGACCAGTATGCAATTGTTAGACTGTTTCTATCTATATACTGCAATGACTCGAAGGTTGCAGACCAGACTAACCTGTAGCATAAGGATACTGTTATTTTTTATGCAAAAATAAAGAGTCTGAACTGTTTCCAGCTAAAACATTAATGTTAATGAATCATTAAAAACCTTGATGTGATTAATGGATCAATTGATTAAAGTATAATTATGCAACTGTTGTATTTAATTAATGACGCATCTTTAGGATTATAAATGATAACTTATGATTGCCATTATCCAAAACTTACTTTCTCCATGTTTTGCCATTGAAATGACCCACTAAACTTGAAATGACAATCTTTAAACATTGAAATGCTGCAATGTCGTATTTCACGTAACGTAACAAGCATTTTCACTCTCATGTAGTAAATTCATGCTTTACGTTCTATAACAAGCATTTGCCACTGTACTTTTCTATTATCATGTTTTATATACCTAATAGACATTTCCCGCTGTAATGTTGAAATAGTGGTCATCCGTATTTTGCTACTCACCAGAACGGATAGATGATCAGCTTTGAAACTAACCACACCACGAAGAACACGACGAAGAAGTACTCGGCTAAAACCTGTTTTTTTGCATAGTTAGCCATCTTAGAAGGCTGAAATTAGAAATTATAACTCACTTCGTCCACAGTCCTACTCATATTGCAATTCAATTTACCGATATTGATCAATTATCGACTTTCGTTGAAGTGAAAATGTGGTTATTTAGACTTGAGAAAGCGATATTAACCGTTAATTTCGTCTCAGTCAAAGTCCTCAATTGCTATATATATTAGATCTGACTTTGTTTTTCATTACACAAATTGGAGCACAATCAAATCCTCACGGGAAAAGTACCTCATTTGGCAGAGAGCATTGCGACGTTTTAATAGAAGTGACGCCATAAAGAAAATATCAACCTCATATTTCTAAAAATAGAAACATCGAACCGGTATAAAAAAAATCACTGACAATTATGATGATTCAACCAATCAGGTTTTTGATAAACGATATGATTTAATATTAGGATGGGACGTTTACAAGAAAGCACGTGTTAGGACGTAATCAGTTATTGGATACTTTGTTTATGATAGAAGTATTAAAGTGTACATACAGCCATCATAAAGTCGTTGGAATCGTGTAGAATAAGCACCAGCGAACCAATACGAAGTTGGTTAGAGACGAAGGAAAAATACAGGAGCAGTACAGTGACTATGTGATGGACGACCAACTCTGGGAAGTCTTTTCTTTTGCTGTCAAACATCAACATCAATAACATATGCCAGTAGAACCCCATTTCAATCGTGTAGTACCAGTATAAATCGTTGGGTACATGCTAAAAATAAAAACGTATTGAAGTCAAACACAGCTTGTGTTATCACATTCTGTCAAACACAGCTTATAGTATCACACTCTGTCAAACACAGCTTATATTATCACACTCTGTCAAACACAGCTTATATTATCACACTCTGTCAAACACAGCTTATA